TTGAAAATAAGAAATGTCAAAAAGTTAAAATACTTTTTTCTAATACTGCTAAGTCACTTTTTTCCTTCAATAAACATTACTGCACATCTAGAATGTACAAGGAAGGCTCTGTGCTGAGTGCTGGGGATACGAAGCTGAACCAGTGTCCCACTCTTGATTAGGGACCACAAATGAAGAACATTTCAATCAGGCCTGGGAGATTAAAGAAAGCAATACTTGAGGTGAATTATGAATTAGGAGTAGCAAAAAGGGAAAGAGAGGAAGCATATATTCAATTCTGACCTGAGGGACCAGCCAGAGGGACGGAAGCCCTGAGGATGTATGGTATGAGTAGCAAGGGCTGTGTCTAGTAACCACATGTCTACTGTCATCTCTTCTTTCAGATCAGCATCTCGTGAATGAACATCATCTACTTACAACAACTATAAAGCCAATCTACGCTACTTCAGGCACTTTTACAATTAAATATTTTATACCCCTCTGATTTCTTTAGGAAAAAAGAATTCTACATTTTGGTTTTCTCAAGTATTAACTTTGACTTTTTATTAATTGTAAACCAGTGACTATTTATTTTGCCCTTCAAAAAGAATACCTGATATAAAAGAGAAGTAAAGCTTACCGATCATATTATCTAAGGAGAGGTCCGGGAGTTTATTCTGTAGCACTCCTACAGGAATTCCACAGAAAGACACTGGTGAATATAAAGGTGACACACCAGAACTACTGCAAAGACATAATAATTACATGGTTTTTTACATATTAAAAACCTGCATCACACATTAGTAACTCAAATTAGTAACTTCAGATCATGGCATACTACCCGTTTTCACATTGCTTCTTCATCTTACCCATAGGTGAAATATCTCTAGCAGTTTTACATAATTCTCTAATAATCCAAAGTCTTAATTATCACTTCAGAAATTTTTTAATAGGAAAAAACCCTGCTATTTTTATGATTCTGGTAATTTTTTAAAAAGAAGCAACAGAAAACAAACAAAAAAAAGATCCTATTGATTCCTTTACCTGTTCCGGGAATTTCGACTGCAAACAGCAGACTTCAGTTCCCATATCATGACCCTGCCATCACTCACTATGAGGGCAGCTGCATTCTCATTGACAGGACAGCACACCATACTGAAGGGACGGACAGTTTTTGTCACCCTGATTGCATCACACTGGCTTCGCAGATCATAGGTAAGCTCCTGGACAGGATCTGGATCTTAACAGAGTATTGTTTTCTTTTAAATTTCAAAAGCAAACACCTCAACATACTTCCATTTGTTTTAATTTAAATAAAATCTCAACTAAGAAAACATATCATTCCTTCACTAATGCAAGGTTTGTCAAGAATGGCTTCCCTTTTTACAATTATTACTAATTTCTTCAGTATACAAAGATAACTCACTTAATGAGTTTAATTTTAAAAATAACAACTGTAATCAAGATAACTTATCCTTAATACTTTTTAAATAAAGTAAATGCTTAAAAGGATCAATAGTGACATGTGATTAAATAATGTACAGTGTATGTATAGACCACCCTAATTTACAGCTATCTATATTAAGTCTGAAAATAACTACTTTACAAAAGATGTGAAAGTCACTTTCACCTCTGCATAGTACATCAGTTCACAAAGCATTATTTGTATTCTCTAGGAAAGACTGAAAATGATGACTAAATAAATTCTCAGGAGACTTACTAACCTATGCCATTTTACAACGGAAATTCCTAAAGCAGGGAGGTCAAGAGGGTGTTACAATAAAGGTAATATAAGGTTGGACTTGTGCTAAAGGAAAACTCGTAGAAAGTAGTATCTACTTGGCTCATGGATACAATCAAGAAAGAATTATAAAATGTGATTTTCTTTGCTGTACATAGGAAATGCACTATTATAACACAAATAGATTAATGTTGGGCTTGTGCTTTTTTATGCCCCATATTATAACCATATTCCACTTTTTCAAGGCCAGGATTATCATTAACTCTATGCTTTGCCTGGTGTTTGCCACATGAAGCTTTAAAAATAATTCTGAAGAAAAATGTAATTAACATTATTGTGAGGTATAAACTTACCTGGTTCCTCATTTGAAGTAGTGAAAACGCTATTATAGGATCTTCGAACACGTAAAGTTATACAACCATTTTCATGTAGGCAAAATAAACCATCACGCTGAAAGCAGGGTATTACCTTTAAATAGATGATGCGTTATTTTTAAAAACACAATAGATTAAAAAGTACATACTGTAAAAAATTCATAAACTTATATTTAGATAACATGGGCAAAAAACAAAAGAAAAACAGTAATACACAAATAATCCCCAAGCTTTAGAGCTATATGCTAAGCATTTAAAAAATACATTTATAATCATAAAAAATTTGTCTTTATCCAGGTAACTTAAATAGTATCTCCAGATCAGTGAGAAGAATTTCTAGTATATCTCAAACAAACC